TCCTGGAGCTCTGGCAGCCTTGGGGCCGTGCCCACTGCCCTGGGGAGCCTGGGCAGTGCCCACCACCCTCTGGGGGAAGAACCTTTCCCTGAGATCCATCCCAACCCCCCTGGCACAGCTCCAGCCCTTCCCTGGCTCCTGTCCCTGGTCCCAGAGCAGAGCTCAGCGCCTGCCCCTCCGCCTGCCCTCAGGAGGAGCTGCAGCCCCCGAGAAGTCTCCCCTCAGTCTCCTCTGCTCCAGCTGAACCAGCCCAGTGCCCTCAGCTGCTCCTCACACCCTTCCCCAGCTCCCTGTCCCTCCTTTGAACACTCTCCAACATCTTTAGATCTGCCATTGTGCATCCAGGACTTGAGCTGAGGCCGTGCCAGAGTGCATTGAGAAGGGCACAGATTTGGGGTAAGTCTGACCCGTGGCAGGGAGGCGGGTGCCGATGGCAGCAGGGGAGGATGATGGGGACAGTGATCCCCTCTCGAGGCTGGCACAGCCCCTCTGAGCCAGGTGTGGGGCAGGTGACTCACGTCATGGCCTGGTAGATGGACTCCACCCCGTAGCGCATGGCAAACTCGTCCACGATCTCCTGCGCCGTCTCATCAAAGTACACCTTCCAGGCATCGTCCCCCTTGGCGTCGGGGATCTTCACCACGCCGTTGTTTTGCAAATCCGTCACAAAGTGGAACAGGTTCTGGAGGTACAAATGAGTCCCGTCAGGTCCCCAGGGCCGGTGGTGGCAGGGCGGCATCGCCAGGGCAGGGGCCGTGCCCCCCGTGCCTGCCTGGGCTGCTCACCTCGTGCAGGCAGGTGTACTGGACATGGTAGGGGGCCACCTTCTCCTCGCCTTTGATCTCCACGCTGATGTGCAGCCGGATGGCTCCCGACACGGCTGACTTATCTGTCCGCTTGTCTGTGGGGCACAGGGAGGGGCACGAGGTGTGAGGCTTCCCCAGAGCAACCCTGCTCACTCCTGGCCCCAAGGAGGGGCAGAATGCTCCAGGACAGAGGAACTCTGAGGACAAGAGCTGGACAGACACCCAGCACCATGTGCAGCCAGGCCAGGGCACAGTGCCACCAAGGCACTGAAGAGAGGGATTTGGCCACATTGCCAGACACCAGAGATGTGGCCTCTCTGTACCTCAGTTTCCCCTCTGCAGAGGGCTGGTGCCTCAGACCTCTTGGGCTAAAGGTTCTGCAAACGAGCCTGGGAAAACACTTGATCCCAATGGCTTCAGATATGAAATTTTTTTATGTGTATATATATATATATATATATATATATATATAATTATTTATAATATATTTATATATGTTTACATTTACATAATTTTTATATTGAAGTAGATAATTATATTTGTATACTTATTGTATACATTTATTATATCATTTTATCTATATTTTTTATAGTTATATTTATATTGCTGCTGCTGCTATAGCCCTTCAGGCCAGGGCTCATAGCATGCCTCTGTGGGGCCCAGGGCTGGGGTCCCAGCCTGGCCAGGCTGTGTCATCCCCCCAGAGCCCAGGGCTGGGGTCTCAGGCTGTGTCAGGGAGGTGTTTACCGAGGTTGTACCAGACGTCCATCTCCCCACTCAGGGTCCGGACCTCGATGATGGTCTGGCCCAGGAAGTCATCAGATTCCCTCTTGAAGCGCTGTTTGACGCGGGATTTGATGTCATCGTCTTCGTCCCACACACGGACCTTGATGCGGTCAGAGGAGTTATGGCACTCGCTGGGGAGGTGAGAAGGAGCAAAGCCCTGGGATGAGCAGGGAAGCCTTTCCAGCTTCTCCCCATCCTCTGTTTCCCTAAACAAGAGGGAACATCCCAACACAGGGCAGGAACGAGGGAAGAGAGCAGATCTGGGGCCACCAACCCTCCCCAGTTGGCTCAGTGCAGCCCCAGCACAGCCGGGATCAGCCCCTGGAGCCCAATACTCCATGGCACAAAAACAGCACCCCAAGGGACCCCAGCACCCCCCTCCACCCTCAGTGGGGGCAGGACGAGGCCCAGCTGGCTCCCCCAGTCCAAAGGGACATGCTGACAGCCAGCACAGCAATGCAGGGGGATGAGGGGACTGGGGGTGAACTTACAAATGGAAATTCTCCTCCCAGACTGGGTTGAGATTGCCGTAGATAGTTTTAGTCCTTTTTTTCGTCTTTCCAACCTGGACAGTGACATAGGGGTCACTGGAACCCGTCTTATCCTTTGCTTGCAGGCCCTGGGCACAAACCACTGCAGCACAGCACGGCACAGCACGGCACGGGATGCACACCCATCCACACACGGCACAGGAACGGCACACATGGCAGAGGGAACAGAGAGAGAGAGAGAAATCAGTGCCACAGCCACACCAAGACCCCCAAAACAGGCACCTGTGCCCCCCCCCAGAGCCCCAGGGGCTGAAGCTGCTCGGCAGGACGAGGGGTTGGGCCATGCAGCTTCATTGTGCTGGGAACAGCCTTGTCCCCATGGCCAAACAGAGCAGCTGCCTACCCGTGATGCTGATCTTGGCCGACCATTTGGAGGTGCCGTCCAGGACGCTCTGCTTCACTGCCTTCATCTGCTGTGTGTGCGTGGTCTTGTTGACCCCAAACACCTCCTGGATCAGCTCAAATATCTCCGGCTTGTTGCGCTCCCGGATCTTCATGCGGTCCTTGAGCACCATGATGATGTTCTGGGTCCGGTCCTCTGCTCCGTGCTTGGAGCTCTTCTCTGCTGCTCCTGGGGGAGGACAGCCACGGGTGAGAGGGGGTGGGAGGCAGGTGGTGTCCAGGAGAGGGCATAGAGATCTCTCAGGTGGGCATGATGGGCTTGGGGACAGGACAGGAGGAAACGGCCTCGAGTTGCACCAGCGGAGGTTTAGGTTGGATATTGGGAAAAATTTCAGCATGGAAAAGGTTGTCAAGCATTGGCACAGGCTGCCCAGGGCAGTGGCGGAGTCACCATCCCTGGGAGTGTACAAAAAACATGTGAATGTGGCACTTGAGGACACAGTTCAGTGGTGACCACAACAGTGCTGGATTGATGGTTGGACTTGTTGATGTTAAAGGTCTTTTCCAACCTCAACAATTCCACCACTCTGCGATTCTGTGCATTAATTAATTCAAACCTGGAGGGCTCTACCCCCTTCCCAGCACAGGTCTGCCCTGCCCACCGCTTCCCCCACGCTCAAGGCAGGAGCCCAGCTCTCCCGGGCCGCTCCAAGGTTGGAAGGGACAAGGCTTTTGTGTCCTTACTCTGCAGGCAGTCGGCATTGAGCAGGTCCTGGCACTTCTCGTGGCACTTGACGCCGCACTCGGCGCAGCGCATGCCCTGCCGGGCGATGCCCCACAGGAGCCCCTCGCACTCGTAGCAGTAGGTGGGGGTGGTGGCCGTCCACACCTCGAAGTTGTGGGGCGTCGTGCAGGAGATGGGGTACACTAAGGCTTGCAGGGTCTTCTTGTAAACATGGTTTTTCTGTTTTCAGCAGGGACGGGAGAGAGAAGGGGGAAGAAAAGCTCAGGCAGGGTAGAGGGTGGCACTTGAGGACGTGGGTTAGTGGTGGTGGGCTGATGGTTGCACCTGATGATCTTAAAGGTCTTTTCCAACCTCAATAATCCCATGATTCTATACCCAGCTGCTCGGGCATTGCCAGAGGACGCTGGTGTGGCACACCTCCTGCACCTTCACTGCTGGCCCAGCCCCCAAGGCTCAGCCCCCCACCACAACCACCCCCACCCCAGCCCACCCTGCACCTACCAGCTCCTCGTTGTTCAAGGTGCTCGAGGCCAGTGCGGACGTGATTCCCGCTTTCCTGGACTGGACCAGGGACTGTGGGAAAGAAACAGAGTTCCCAAATCCAGCGG